GGCAGTGGAAAAATTACTTTCACGAAAACGAAAGTAATATTATTTAAAAGGAAATTACAATTCTGACAGCAAAAAGTGCTAAGTACACTTTCAATGTATAAATCGGAAAACTCTCCATGATGCCGGAAATCAGCCCCTACCTGATTTGTACTTTGTTTTCATCAGCTGTTTGATTTCCCAGGTTGCACGTAACTTGACCATTTACATAAAGCCTTTAAGACTTGAGACCTTGCACTAAACGGGGGCACCCAACGGGAAATTTTGAGAAAAAGACCTAAAAACAACAACAAAGGTTGAATAAATTTTTCTGAGACTATTTTACGCATTTTGGGAGATTGCTGGAAAATAATTATCTGTTCCTCACTCCCAGCAAGACTGATGGAAGAATTCCCAGCCAGCAAACTTACAACCTCCAACCCGACTTACTGGGGAGTTTCATAGGGCACAATTCAGATCTTGAGTGGTAAGTAACCCATACACGTAACCCGTAGCAGCTATTCTAGACTTCAAATCCCCTCTCACACCCTGAATTATCTTTTTCCCAGCAACACTTTCCTTCCAAGGACTATTATTTCTTCCACATCTCCCAGCCAGCAAAAATGTGCCTGAAGAACAGATATTTTGAGGAACAGATCCATTGCGTGCCCCTGACTAAAGGATTTAGCTTGATCACTAGCAGAGAAAGACAGCAGCAAATAATAATAAAATAATAATAATAATAATAACAATAATAATAATAATAAAATTAATAATAATAATAATAATAATAATAATAATAATAATAGATAAGGAACTTGGAAGTTAGGGAAATACCAACTATTGAAAGATGCGAAAAGTCATTGTAGTGCCTGTTGTTATTGGGGCCCTTCAGGCGCCGTATCAGTCAACTTTAAGGAGTACATGAAGCGAATCGGCGTGAACGTGAGGTTGGAAGTTATCCAGAAAACAGCATTGTTGGGGACAGCAAAGATACTAAGGAAAGTGCTGTTCCTTTAAGAAGAAGGAAAAGAGAGACCTGGGACCCGTGGTGACTTGTTGTAACCCGCCCCAAGGACTATAAACCAGGCCGAACATCCTGAGTCTACAAGGAATGGACATCATCATCATCATCATCATCATCATCATCATCATAATAACAATAATAATAATAATAATAATAATAAGGCAAACAGACCCGACATTGCAATCAAGAATAAACAGGAAAAAAGCTGCTTGCTTATTGATATGTCCGATCCCCACTGAAAAGAACACTTCAGTTAAAGTAGCTGAAAAACTGTCAACAAATATAAAGACCTTGAAATCGAAATTGAAAGAATTTGGGGTATGTAGGCCACAGCAATTCCGGTAGCGCTAGAAGTCCTGGAACTGATAAAGAAAGGATTGGAGAAATATATACAACAAGTCCCTGGCCCCGCGTAACATCAAAATAAAACACGAACTACTTAAGATCACACTACTTGGAACATCTCGCATCCTAAGAAAGGCACTCTCCTCTGAAATAGACTTCTACCTCATTCTAACCCTAGGCCCCAGGAATGGACTCGATCGGCTATTATATAGAGGATATTACACGGTGGCGAGAAGATATGAATTTTATGTTCGAGTGGCAAGAACAATATCTCACTCGTTCGCTTCGCTCACTCGTGAGATATTGTTCTTGCCACGAGAACATAAAATTCATATCTTCGAGCCAACGTGTAATGTTCTTTTTATTATATGGAGAAACCAATTCAACAAAAGCAAAAGGCGGGAATCGTGACGTCATTGAACGATACGACACTCACAAAGGTTACATACGGAAAATACGCCACTCGGGTCCCGGATGAAGTGGCGTATGGAATCTACGAGTGGTTTAGTTCCCAGTAAAACACTCTCCTCCATATAATAAGTTGTATTATGGTATAAATCAAGTTAATAAAAACAATAATAATGATAATGATAATCATAATCATAATCATAATCATAATCATAATAATAGATCTTGCAACAGAACTGAGAAAACTGTGGAATCGAAGGTCAAAACAAGAGTTGTGCCTATTGTTGTCGGGGCACTTGGAACAATCAGATTCAAAAGACTACCCTATTAGGAACAGCACAAATCCTCCCACGGGTTCTCGACTACTAAGGTTGCAGGAAGTGACTTGTGCCGCTGGTTACCAGTTCACTACCACTACCACTACCACTGCCACTACCACTACCACTACCACTACCACTACCACTGCCACTGCCACTGCCACTGCCACTGCCACTGCCACTGCCACTACTGCTACTACTAATAATAAACCGAGTGTTTGCATGCGTCTCTGAGTTCGATGAACTCAGATTGCGACTCATGATAGTACAGTAAGTAAGCAATTGCCTTTTTCCTTGCAGCAGCGTCTCGTCAAGAGCAAGATGTTACGCACAAGATTCTCTGATGAGTTTTGTGATTTTTGGTCTTAAATCTTTATACAACCGCTACCAGCTTAATGCCTGCCACGCGACTCCGCCGGAGTTCCGCGGGAACAATAAATAGAATCGCTCAGAAGGGTTCTCGCAGCATCGACTTTCGTTGTTCCCTTTTTTAATTACATATGGAACCTGTTTAGTAGTCTTCTCGGGTAAGGACGATGAACCGTACTAGGCCCCGATTCACAACACTTGCACTAATAAATTCTGTGGGACGTTAAAGGACCCACTCTGTGAAGGTGTAGGAGGTGTGAATAGCTTATTCTATTCGTTCTGTGGTGGTCTATTCACAGCGCCACATTTCCTCATTACTTGTACTGTACTGCCTCCTATAACTAAGCCGTCTGGCAAAAGTCCCCCAACTAGAGTTGTAAATATCTTATCCGATCCACTCTCCTCAACGCTTCTCAGAGATAAAAGCCTTGAGGGGAGTGGATCAATAATAATAATAATAATAATAATAATAATAATAATAATAATAATAATAATATAATAATTGGTACCATCTAGAACTGTTTTGACTCTTTCTGTCCAAAACGGCCCAGCATGTTCCAAATCTGCCCTCGAGAAATTGGGGCCGATTTTGCCTTTGGGGTCGATTTGGCTCTTTTCATTTTACAGTGTACCAGGCTCAGAACCTACAAAATAGATAGCCGATCAAAAACGGTTTGCAACGGAAAACTGGCATTTGATTTCTTTTCTTTCTGCTTATATTTTACGAGAAACATGCATGATTTTCGGTGAATTGAATAAATCTGTTCATGATTTAAGGTAAACTAAGTAAAGTTAGCGATCTACCAATGTAATTATTATTCCAAAAAATCCGACTTAAAAAAAGAGGCGACATCGATTTATGTCCGAAACATACCTCTCAGAAAGTGTTTGATTATACTGCAAACTTCCTTTGTTTTGAACAGATTACTTTTAATAAATGGAAGCGCTGAGAGCAGATCATTATGGAAATAGCAGAGTTCATTATTT